TCTACTTGAGAGATGCAAGACAATTGAGAAACTGAGTCTTGCCGTCTGGGAGATGGGAAGAATGGAGGAGCCTAGAGCTGCTACGGAGACGGAGAAGGTGACAGTGATGTTGGATGAGCAATTGCTGGCACTGTTGGTTTCCTTTCGCTACTGCTATCACAGATAACCACAAGCAACACACATGTATGACCTGGCAGTTCTGGTTGTCAGCAGTCCACGCGCAGCGTGAAACCACTGAAGTCAAGGCGTCCCAAGGGCTGCTTTCGCCGGGGCCCCTGGGAGGAGCTGCGGTTTCTGGTCCTTTTCCAGCTTCTAGACAGGGCCTCATTCCTCCATCTCATCCCCACGTCACTCCAGCCGCTTGATTCTAACCTTGTATCTCCTGCTCCTCTCTGACCTGCATCCTGCAAGGGCCCATCAGATAATCCCCATCTCAAGGTCCCTGCCTTATTCACATCTGCAGTGGCTGTGGCCACGACAGGTGACATCCCCCCACGATCTGGGAAGAGGACATGGTTATCTTCGGGTGGCCATTGTACTGCCCACCACATTTCCACTCAGGTGGTTGTAAGCTGTCTTGGCGGTGGCTATGGAGGGACCCTGTCTGATGGTGCTAGTCTTTGTCTTTGGCAGAGGACACCGCCACCTGGTAGTGACACCAGGCAGACTATCAGCTCTAGATATTTTTCCTTCACTGTCCGTTTCAACCAGCTTTCCGGGGCTAAGCCTGCTCTAGCCCTCTCTGGTCACAGCCCTCCTTCTTGGGCACAAAACAGGCAGGAGCAGGAGAGAGAGAGGGAGTATGGAGGTCAGGGAAAGTGAGGGACTCCTCTGCCCTCTTAGCGCCCACTCCATGGTACTGTTTCCCCTTGTATTGTAAAATCGCTTTGTGTTCTCATGGTTAAGCTCTGTGACTATTGCAGGCTTTCTGTGTGTCATTAGCGTTGTTATGCTTTCCATTTCAACTGCTAAGAAACACTTTTCTCACTAAACAATTCAGATTAGAATTATATATCATTACCCACTTAGACGCCTACTCAAGGTTTTTTAAATTAATGACTTAATTATTAAGGAATTAAGACTGGGAATGCTTATCATATTTTTAAATAAGTCCAAACCAAGCACATCACTGACACACTTTATGGCAGAATCAAGACTCAAAAACTGAGTAACCATTATTGTGTTTCAAAAAAAGGAATAACATTTTTGGTAAAGATTATTATGTTTTATTTGAAAGGCAGAGTTAGAGAGAGAGAGAGCTTCCATCCACTGATTCACTCCCCAGATGGCCACAACAGCCAGAGCTAGACCGATCCAAAGCCAGGAGCCAGGAGCTTCTTCCAGGTCTCCTACATGGGTGCAGGGGCCCAAGGACTTGGGCCATCTTCCACTGACTTCCCAGGCACATTAGCAGGGAGCTGGTTTGGAAGTGACACAGCCGGGTCTTGAACCAGTGCCCACATGGGATGCCAGCATCACAGACAGAGGCTTAACCTACTATGCCACAACACCAGCCCCAAGAATAAAATTTTAATATAAATACATGTAAACGGCAGTATTTTGGTCCAAGCCATTCACTGCATAGGTTTAGGAAGGAAGGAGATAAATGAGGAATTTCATTTTACTGTGCACTCAGTACAAATAATGTAAAATGGCTGCCAGGACTGGACCCACAGAAGCAGTCCAGGAGAGGGACAGGGGCTGTTCTGCCATCAGCCCACTCCCGAGTGAATTCCTGCTGGGCACTGCTTGGTGGCATTCACAAAGTCCACACGTTTTCACCGAGAGCCCACCACACGTGCAGCACTGTGCTGGACCTGAGGACACGACACATCTAAAAGTCTAAACACAGGAACTTTAAGTTTGTTAAGTACCATGTTAAATACCACAGATCCGTCCAACAGAGCACTGATCAGCTGTGGCAAGTGGTAACTCAGTTGTATTCCATTGACACAAAAAGAGTCTCATGGCATCTCATTGAGTTAAAAAAAAAGAAAACATTTATTAGTTGGATTCCATCCCATTTTTTATTAAAAGAACATGCATACAAAATTGACAATTATTAGCAAGTGTTATATTCCTGCAGATGCCTATTATTTTTTCTACACTGAATATATGCCGTATATATTAACTTTTAAAGTTCTTTAACACAAAGTAATATGGTTATGAAATGTAGGAAGGTTTCCAGGAGACCATCACAGGGAGGCCTGGCTAGGTGGCCATTGGTGAGTGTGGCCTTGTGCTGTTGGCCATTTCTACGGCTGAAGTGGAGAGGGAGCGGTAGTGACCCACGTGTGCCACCAGATGGCGCCAAAGCAGCTTGAGGCGGTTCAGCGGCAGAAACAGCCGCCTTTGTGCAGACGGAAATTCGCGAGATGCAAAGTATTTATGGTTCTCCAGTGACATAAGCATTTTGTCGTGATGCGTTAGACTTTGTAGAAAAGTTTATGGAAAGTTTATGTAGAAAAGTGTATGGAAAATATCATGGAAAAGCTGCAGAGATTCCAAATTTTTCTGTGCCCAAATAAGCATATCTTTGAATTCCATGCTCTGCTGACTCTTTGACGTGCCCTGTGTACAGGACAGAGGCTGTGACCGAAGTTTCCGGGCCCCCCTTCCCCGCCCCCTGGATTTTATCTTAAACACTCACGCACAAAGACTTCCCAGTGCCAGCTGCGCAGGTCAGACTCCCAAGTCCCTGGGCTGCGCCGGCGCCTGGACTCCTAACCGCGGCCCTGCAGTGCCAAGTTCCTGGCAAGCGGTAGGCGCAGGAGCTGGCGCTCACTTCCCCCGCGCCTTCCTGCCCCTGTGCGCTCGGGCGTCCCGGCCTCCTAAGGCCCCGCAGTCCACCAGGCAGGAGCGCCCACGCTGGCCTCCTCGCGCGCCTGAGCAGGTGGGAGACTCCAGAAAACCGAAGCGGCCACGAGTGAACGGAGAAAAGGCCCGGGACCGTGCAGGAGCTCGGAGTTGGGGGAAAGACTGGGCGCCTGCACCTGCTGTTGACCGACAGCTCCGGGAGCGCCGCGCGGGCACACACAGGGCCGCACAGGCCGCGGGTTCCGCGGCACCGCGGTTGCCGCTGGTTCCTGGGAGACGCGGTCCGCAAGGCGGACTTCCATCCGCGGCTCTTCCCTCGAGCCCCGCGGAGCGCCCACCGCGCCAGCCTTTGTCTCCCGCGGCGCCCACGGCCGCCCCCTGCCCGTGGTAAGGAGGAACCACCCTGGTTGAGAAGCGCCCTGGACTTCCATCTCAGCCTCTGTCCTGTATACAGGGCCCTCCAGAGGGTCAGCAGGAAGTGGAATTCAAAGACCTTGATTGGGGCGCAGACAACTTTGGAATCTGCAGTTTTTCCATGATGTTTTCCATACACCTTTGAAGACCCCTTGTTTGCAAGGATTTCACTCAGCTTTCCATTCCGTTGTCCGTGAATGTCTTGTGCCGTGGTGTGTGTGTGTGTACATCCAGTGGCTACATTGCTGCCAGCTGGTTTGTACCTAAAAGTGGAGAAAACTGCTCAGGGGAAGGGTCTTGAAGAAGACTATGCTAAGACCAGCATTGAGCACAGGCAGGCATTGCATATGAGGGCCGGTTCAAGTCCCAGCTGCTCCACTTGCAACTCAGCTCCCTGCCAATGCGCTAACGGGAAAACAGTCGGTCCAAGTGTTAGGGCCCCTGCCTCCCACCTGGGAGGCCAGGATAGGGTTCTAGGATCCTGGCTTCAGCCTGGCCCAGCCTAAGCCATTGCAGCCATTTGGGGGGTGAATCAGCAGTCAGCCGATCTTTTTGTCTCTTCCCCTCTTTCTGTATCTCAGCTTTTCAAATTAATTTTCCAAAAAAGAAAAGGAAACTCGTTGCTATAGATGTGCCATTTTCCATCTCAGAGACCAATACTCAAGATTGAGTCAGGCAACTTTTACGACACTTACGTGGAGGATCTTAATCCAGCAAGTGAATGAGCCCCAGAAATGCGCACCAGCTGGGGAAGGTTGGCACAGTTTTCACTTACTAAGCTCATGCACGTTGTTCTCAGAGCCCTGGTGAAGGAGACGCCCCCCCCCCCCTTTTCTCAGGCTGGTATTTCACAGTCCCTGCTGCTGAAGGAGATGTCCCAAAACCGGGGTTCTGGCATCATCCCCCAGCGAAAACCTGATTCTGCTAGCAGAGACGGCTAGGATAGGGGTCCTTGTCTTCGCACAGCAAAGAATCCAGGCATGAGACAGCACAGTGGTGGGCAGAGTAGCAGGGTTTAATGGGGCAGGGTGTCCGTCAGAGCGGACGGGCGCCTCTCCAGATGGAATCGGGATGCGCAGCCAGCCATTCAGCCGGGGGAAGCCACGTTATGCGAGGCAGGCATCTCGGCAAAAGCCCAGGACCCGAGAGGCCTGAAGGCAGTGCCCTGGTAGACGGCGTGGGTGTCTGCAAAGGCTGAGAGCTGAGGGCGGAAGGCGTGCGCCTGGCGAACCGGGCGTGCATCTCGGAAAAGGGCTGAAAACAGTTTGCTTTAAGACTGGGGCTTCCTGTTGTTTGTTCTTCCCGCTCAGCCTCTTCCCCCCAACAAGCGGTTTGCTGGGTGTGAAACAGGTAGAATTCCTCCCAAGGTTTTATCACCTGATCTTAGCAGACTGGGGAGCCCACTTGGCACTGGGCAGAGGGTTGTCCTGGTGTGCCTTCCTCGGGGGGAGACTGTGAAGGTATTATTAGACTGGGTAGCCCACTTGGTGCTGGGCAGAGACAATTCTGGGGACTTTGTTGCCATAGGTTGGGGTGGAGGGAGGCTGGGACCTCTTACAAAGTTATTGGGGTGCGTACAGGGCTTTGTAGCGTAAAATACTGTCTTGCTTGCAAGGTGTGCTTCTGAGGCTGCTAGGGGCCGCTAGGTTCCCCTCCGTGGGCACTCTGTTTTCCTCAGGCCCCTCTCACACCTAAGCTGATTTCCAACTGCCTGCCTAAGCAATCCAGCGCAGGATAGCTAAAACGTGTCTCTTGTTTTCTTCCTGCAGCTTGACCACTATCCCACACAGAGTTACCATCTGCCAAGTTCATCTGACACACTCTTCAATTCTCCCAAGTCGCTCTTTCTTGGAAAAGTTATCGGTAAGCATGTGGTTCTTGGGATATTAGTGTGTACTGAGAATGTGTTTTGTATCAGAATTACGTTAGATTTGCTTTCTAAAAGTACCAGGTTAATTCCCCTCGCTGGGTCAGAATATCTTCTCCATGCGAGAAAAGTTGTGCTGCTGTTCTCAGTGAGGAACAGGAGAAGGGTTAACAGATCGTCTTTGTGGTGAATGGTTCATGTGATACATTTTAAAGCCACCCGTTCACCTTTGAAACACGTTGTGATTGGTCTAGGGACTTCTCAGCCAACACAGAACCAATGTGACTTGGGATGTGCAGTATAAACAAGACCACAACTCTCTCTCCATGGTTGCTCTTTATATATATATATAAATAAGAATTATTATTTAATTACAAGGCAGAGTGACAGAGAAAAACAAGTATTGAAAGGGATTTTGCACCCACTGGTTCACTCTCCAATTACCCACAACAGCCAGAGCTGAGCCAGGCTGAAATCAGTAGCCAGGGTCTCTATCGTGGTCTTTCACCTGGGTGTCCGGACCCAAGTACTGGAGTCATCAGCTGCTGCCTCCCAGGGGCGTCAGCCGGAAGCTGGATTGGAAGGGGAGACGGGACTTGATCCCAGGTGCCCCCGTATGGGATGTGGGCATCCCAAACAGCAGCTTAACCCACTGAGCCACCATACCTGCCTCTACTCTGGAGTTCTTTATGCAGTTTGTTCTTTGGTTTCTTCAAGACATCTCCCTGCTAGCAATATGTAATGTAATTTCTCTAGGCGCATCACATGTTCTCTCTTCCTCTCGCAAAGTTACCTGCTGTTCACACATCGGAGGACGGATAGGAATGAGGCAGTCGAGAGAGACCACCCTTCCCTATGTGTGCTTGTGAACTTGGGAGTCACCTTTGCCCTGCTCCTCTATAGGCAATTAGTAGACAGATGGAAGCAGTTAAAGATATTTAAGTGTTTAATGTGAAGCCAGTGAATTATTTTTTAGTATATATTGTGAACCCAAAATGGAAAGACAATGGTATTGTGCAGGCTGGGCTGTCAGTCTTTGTCCAGTGCATGTTAGTGATCAGCATAGCATTAATGCTGAAAAAAAACAATTAAAAAAGATGGGGTGTGGAGTTAGAGAAAATGAGGAGCAAGAAACAAGAGATTGAACCTATAATGAAAATAATAATGTGCACTTGTGTAACACTTCCTGTAGGCCAGGTTCATTTTAAACACTTTAGGTATATTAATGCATTGAATCTTCAGAACGATACCGTGAGGTAGTTATGATTATTGTCTCCAGTTTATAGAGAAGAAAACTAAAGCATAAAGGAGTTATTAGCTAAGTGGCTCTAGGAGCTGATTCAAGTGGCAGAACCGAAACATGAAGCCAGGCAGTTAGTGATCGTGGTAGCTATTAATTTCTTTGCTCTCATCTCCGTGTTGGTTAACTTGGAATTGAGAGAGGAAGGTTCTGGCAAGAGATACAAGAGCTCTTCAAAGAGCTCAAGGAAATATGCATTATGGAAACACTATGTGTGGATTGTGAAATTTTTCGCACCAAAATAAGCTTATTTTTTAATTCCATTTTTCCACACACTTTTTTTTTTTTTTGACAGGCAGAGTGGACAGTGAGAGAGAGAGAGGTCTTCCTTTGCCGTTGGTTCACCCTCCAATGGCTGCCGCGGCTGGCGCGCTGCGGCCGGTGCACCGCGCTGATCCGATGGCAGGAGCCAGGAGCCAGGTGCTTTTCCTGGTCTCCCATGGGGTGCAGGGCCCAAGCACCTGGGCCATCCTCCACTGCACTCCCTGGCCACAGCAGAGGGCTGGCCTGGAAGAGGGGCATCCGGGACAGAATCCGGCACCCTGACCGGGACTAGAACCCGGTGTGCCGGCGCCACAAGGCGGAGGATTAGCCTAGTGAGCCGCGGCGCCGGCCCTCCACACACTTTTTGAAGTGCCTTGGGTAAGTGCTAAGGCAGACCAGCTGAGGGATGAGGCCTATACCAGAGGCCAGAAAGCAGCTAAGAACTAGAGTATTCCTGAAATTAGAACCAGGAACCCACCTGTCTCGTTGATGTGGTGGTGGTGGTGGGGAATCTGGAAGACATAGACAAGTAGGCCTCTACTTAAAGGCCCAGAAGAAAAGACCGCTTAGCAGTAAATAAGAGAGCAGACAGTGGCAAGTGATCAAAGGGGGACATTGGAAACAGAATGAGAATGCTTTGATCACTGGGCCTTGGTATCCCAGCACATGGAAAAGCAATTAAACAGCTATTCCTTAACCCTTTGCATCCTAAAAATTATAGCCGTGCGTCCTCTCAAATCTAGCGTTGTGTTATCCAACCGCAGTGTCCTAGGCATTTTCTCCAGTATTTCCCATGGTCGCTGCATTTGTAAAGTCCTATCCTAGCCGGCGCCGCGGCTCACTAGGCTAATCCTCTGCCTTGCGGCGCCGGCACACCGGGTTCTAGTCCCGGTCGGGGCACCGGATTCTGTCCCGGTTGCCCCTCTTCCAGGCCAGCTCTCTGCTGTGGCCAGGGAGTGCAGTGGAGGATGGCCCAAGTGCTTGGGCCCTGCACCCCATGGGAGACCAGGAGAAGCACCTGGCTCCTGCCATCGGATCAGCGTGGTGCGCAGGCCGCAGCGCGCTGGCCGAGGCGGCCATTGGAGGGTGAACTAACGGCAAAGGAAGACCTTTCTCTCTGTCTCTCTCTCTCACTGTCCACTCTGCCTGTCAAAAAAAAAAAAAAAATCCTATCCTGAGTTTTATTGTCTGTGAACAAGAATAGAAGACAGAGACCCCATGCCGCCACATAATACGTGTGTAACAGTGACAGCCACATGTCACAACAATCCAGTGAAACCAACCTATGAGTGGTATCTCCATCTCGGAGACGAGGACCCTGAAGCTGCAGGAGGTCTTGGTGACAAAAGTCGTTCAGCCAATCGGTTGGGGCTTTGGGTCTAGGCCTCTGTGATGAGTCCTTGGCCTGAATAGATGAGAAGAATTTGTCACTGATGACAAGCTCTGAAGATACAGATGCAGCTGGAAGTTGACTGATGCCACCATCAGCAACGCAAAGCGGCTGTTGAGTGGAGCTGGGCCTTGGCGTGCAGATCATCCTCAGACATGGGCACTCCTGCGGTCAGTCCAGAAAAACTGAAAGTGTCAAGTGCTCCCTCGGGGCTACAGGGAGGCCCTGAAAACAAACTCCACACCATGAGGTTGTGGTATTCCTCAGGACACTGCACCGTGATCCTGTACCTCCTGGAAACGGGGGCTTCATTACTTCATGAAACCCACCAAGTGGCATTTTCCTGGGGATGTTGGGTGCTGGCACTTCCTTGCTGTGAACGGTGCTCTGTGACTGAATTTGCAATGCAGCGAAAGTACAGCATACAATATGGCATGGAACCTCAAGACCATAAGCAAATAACATCCAAGAGGCAACACCCCCTGCAGCCAAGAACTTACTGTGCTGTAAACGTGTGCAGAGCCAACAGCATGCGTGTTACACCTAGAATTGTTTGAATACCAAACAAAAATGCGGCTGTGCACATCAACTAACTGCCTATGATGTGGACTTGGGGAAAAACAAATTGAAGCCGGGAAGGAGCTCCATGATCCCAAGACAAATGGCACCACACACAGGAGAGGATCAGGCTTCTGCCGCAGATTTTCAGGGCGCCTACTTCTAGCAGAGACTGACTCATAGCGCCACTACCTGGTGAGCTGCCCTACAGACCAAGATGGTATCTTGCAGTTCCATTGCATCCTCACAAGAATAACAAGTCTTTGTCAAATTGTCACGGAGTAGA